CAATGAAAGAAGCCAGCCTTGGAGTTCTCACTATACCTGGAAGAAGAGGATGACCTCAGAAGTCTGAGACGTCTCCCAAGTTCTCTGACACTGCTTGGCCTTCTTAGCCTTTTCAGAATCAGCCAGACCCCAGATCCCCTTCCTGTTTAAACAGGTAGAAAGGGACAAGGGAGAAAAGGTCCCCCAGAGCTTGTGGGGGAGGTGGGAGCTGGCCGGATGCTGACAGGCCCTTTGCTTTGTGCCTTTCCTGCTGTGTCCAACAGAAGCTGAGCTGCCTGGCTAGCCCCATTGTCCTCCCACAATGTGCTGAGTCCAAGGGCTTCCCTGGCCCCATGGCCTCACTCCCCTACCCCTGGGCCCAGAGACAAGGCCAGGGGGACAAACCACCCATCCAATTCGGTTGAGTACCAACTGTCCCTGGCCTGTGGCCAGTGTAAAGAGGTCCAAGTTTTAAACTATTCAGCTTCTGCTCTGGAAGAGGAGGATGGTCAGATTCCCCTAAGTCAGTCTGTCAAGATGTCCAAGTTTTAAACTGCCCGGCTTCCATTTTGGAGGGGCAGTGTTGTCATATTCCCCTATGTCAGTTATCACCCCTACATCTAATAGCTCATCTCACTGGACAGTTGTCTCGCTTGCTTGTATAGGGTAGAAAATGTTTCCCAACCCATGTCTCTGATACAGCTGCACAAAACTAGCCTGGCAAAGTGTTGGGGATGGAGCATGTTCAAGCCTCTTGGGTTCCATTCCCAGGACACATGCACACATACACAGATACAAAAACACATGGTGAGGGGGGTAGGGAAAAATTGATTGGAGACACGGTGGGGGATGATAGAATGCACTACAAATAATAAAAAAAGTACTGGAAAATGAAAACTGAATAAATGTGGTCAAAGAGAATGTTTATCTCACACATTTGTTTTCTAAAGTCTGCTGCCTATTTGTCTCTATGAGACCCTAACATAAGATGGAATCTTCTGTGGCACAGTTAGTGAAACAGTTATGATTTGGTGAGTTCTGACTACTTTACACTGCCTTGATCACTTCAGCTTCCTTATCTGACAGCTGTAGCTGGGCCAGCAGTGATCGTCCAATGCCAGGTGCCAAGCCAGAGAGGAAAAGAAGGAGATTCTTTGCTTATAATCTCATATTGGGCTGGTCATTGGTGGTGCACTCGGGAGGCAGAGGCAGGCGGATCTCTGTGAGTTCGAGGCCAGCCTGGTCTACAGAGCGAGTTCCAGGACAGCCTCCAAAGTAACAGAGAAACCCTGTCTCAAAAAAAAAATCTCGTATTCCTGTTCCTCAGTTGACTCACCTGTAAAAGGATTTTAGCATTGACCTTCTATCCTGAGGATAGAGAATGAATTGTCAGCCTCACAGTCAATGTTCTATTTGCTGTAGTCACTAAGAATGGATGGGAAATTGTGATGCCCAGTTGGGAAGTGATTGCAAACTGGTTTCCATTCATTTCTACTTCTTAGGTAGCCTGTGCTCTAACTTCCCTGGAAAGAGGCAAGACTGGGACCTGGAGCTTGGAAGTCATGTCTGACGTAGAACAGCCAAAGTAGAGTCTCAGACAACAAGGAAGGAGAAGCAATGTTCCCCATCTTTGCGAAGAGCTGCATAAAGAGCCTGAAAACACGGTCAGAGCCAAACGCTGGTCTACATGTGCAGGCCCTGGGTTTGATCCCTAGCACTGTAAAAGAAACAATAGCTCCTCAAGTCCCCATTATAGGCTATTTTGAAAACTTGGTAATTATTATAGGGAAACCTCATGATCCTCAAGTTTCTGGGACATAAGGTGACAGAAGAAAATGATGTATGTGCTAGGGGGTGGTGGCTCAGGCTGCCTGTAATTCTAGGAATGCTTGGGGGACACATGTCAGAGCTTTGACTACTAACTGATCCACGCACAATCTTCTGGGCAATAGTTTTGGTCATGTGCTGGGCAAACACTCACAAAAACCTCCACTGCTCCCTCTAAAATGAAAAGTTAGCCAGATCAGTCTTTATTGAACCAACAATTCACTGGAATATAAAACTTTCCCAAAGATCCTGAAAGTGAAAAAAAAAATCACACACAGCCCAGGCAGGGCGCTGTGACTGGGTGAGTGGCTCGTGTACAGCAGAGTGCTATGGCAGCGTAGACACGTTTTCATCTGTGTCTCCTCCAGAATCATAAAACTCATCTATTTGCTCAAAATGTACTTACCAAGCTAAATAGAAGAAGCAGTTATGTGATTATTTATTTTCAAAACTAGATGTTTTGGGCTGGAGAGATGGCTCAGAGGTTAAGAGCACTGGTTGCTCTTCCAGAGGTTCTGAGTTCAATTCTCACAACCATCTATAATGAGATCTGGTACCCCTTTCTCACATAAAGTTGTATATGCAGATAGACTACTCATATACATAAAGTAAATAAATAAATAAATCTTTAAAAAAATAGATGTTTTAGCCGGGCGGTGGTGGTGCACGCCTTTAATCCCAGCACTCGGGAGGCAGAGGCCGGCGGATCTCTGTGAGTTCGAGGCTGGGCTGGACCGACAGCCTCAAAAACAATACAGAGAAACCCTGTCTCGTAAAAACCAAAAAAAAAAAAAAAGATGTTTTAATAGAAAACTTATTCTCCAGAGAAACCCTGCTTTGAAAAAAAACAAAACAAAACAATTTTGTTCTAAGGTTGGGCTTTGGAGGCACATGCCTTTAATTCCAGCACTGGGGAGGCAGAGGCAGGCAGATCTCTGTGAGTTCGAGACCAGCCTGGTCTACAAAGCGAGTTCCAGGACAGCCTCCAAAGCAATGCAGAGAAACCCTGTCTTGAAAAACAAAACAAAAGAAGTTTCGTTCTAAACTTCAGTTCCCCTCTTTGGATCCCACTATATCTAGTTTTTAAAGAACTTTCTACAAGTTGAAACTATCTGATCCAGTCTAGGGCTAGAGAATGGAAGAAGGAACCAGTGGCCAAAGAAATATTTTCCTAAAATGGTAGTCTGGCAGGGAGAAAAAGGAGGATGAAAAGGAAAGGGAGGGCAGCGAGATGGCTCAGCTGGTAAACAGGCTTGCTGCCAAGTCCCACCATGGAGGAGTTTAATCCCTGGAACTCACATGCTGGAAGGAGAGAACTGATTCTCACAAGATGTCCTCTGACCCCGACATGAGCACCATGGACACACACACACACACACACACACACACACACACACACACACACACACACACACTAATAAATATCCCAAAGTACAATAAAACATTTTTAAATGTTTTAAAAAGAGGTTTGGGGATTGGGGAGATGGTTCAGTAGTTAAGAGCACTGGTTACTCTCCTAGGGAACTCAGGTTTGATTCCCAGCACCCACATGGCAATTCAAACCATCTGTAACTCTAGTTCCAGGAGATCCAATACCCTCTTCTGGCCTTCATGAGTACCAGGTACAAAAGTAGTGCACAGACAAACATGCAGGCAAAATACCTACACGTATTTTTAAAAGGGTTGAGCATATGCCAGTTAATTCCATCATTCTAGAGGGTAAGGTAGGATTGCCTTGAACTGAAGGTCAGTTCGGGCTACAGTGTAAAACATTGCCTCAAAAACCAAGCCAAAATAGCCAAACCAACAACAAAATAGGGCCAGCAAGATAATTCAGTGTTTAAAGGTACTTGTTGCCAAGCTGAATGACTTGATTTTGATCCCCAGAACCTGCATGGTGGAAAGAGAACTGACTCCGGAAAGTCGTGATCTGACTGATTATGCAAGCTTGAGAGTGAAGGCACGCACTCGACTCTCTCTCTCTCCTCCCTCCCCCTCCCTCTCTCCCTCTCCCTCCCCCCTCTCTCCTCCCTCCCCCCTCCCTCTCACCCCCCTCTCTCTCTCTCTCACACACACACACACACACACACACACACACACACACACTAAGTAAACTAATGTAAACACACTTACACATAAAATGACAACAAAAAATCCTCAAGGTTATTGACTACAAGTTTTTTAAAGCAAACTGCAATATTAAAATGAATATTTGATAGCCGGGCGTTGGTGGCGCACGCCTTTAATCCCAGCACTCGGGAGGCAGAGGCAGGTGGATCTCTGTGAGTTCGAGGCCAGCCTGGTCTACAGAGTGAGTTCCAGGACAGCCTCCAAAGCTACAGAGAAACCCTGTCTCGAAAAACCAAAAAAAAAAAAAAAAAAAGAATATTTGATAAAAATAGGGTGAGATTTAGGTCTACATGTAAATTGCTACTTAACTTAGCTCTCTCTCTCTCTCTCTCTCTCTCTCTCTCTCTTTTGATTTTTCGAGACAGGGTTTCTCTGTGACTTTGGAGGCTGTCCCGGAACGAGCTCTTGTAGACCAGGCTGGTCTCGAATTCACAGAGATCCACTTGCCTCTGCCTCCGGAGTGCTGGGATTACCAGCACCATGCAGCTAACTCAGCTCTTATAGGGAAAAATAAAATAAGGGGTTTTGAGAACAATTGTTTTCTCAACAATGCTGTTTTGTAAGAGTGCTTTCACTTTATTGTTTTTTTTGTGTGTATTCATTTAATTAATTTATTTTTTAAGATAGGGTCTCGCTATATATGTAGTCCTGGCTGTCCTGGAGCTCACTGTAGACCAGGCTGGCCTTGAACTCAAGAGATCTACAAACCTTTGCCTAAGAAGTACTGGGATAAAAGATGTGCACCACCACATCCAGCTTTACAGTCACATTTGTGGAAATATATGCATATTTATGGAAATACATGGTACATTTTGGTGTTTGGTAGAAGATTCTAGGCAGAACAAGACAGGGACAAACATTCACTACAGAATGCTTCTGTCCTCAGCTCCCAGTGGCTTTGAGAGGACCTCCCTGGGCAGCCAGTCCTGCCCAACAGGAGGGCCTCTGCACTTCTGTAACCCTAAACAAAGCTCCGAGGGATACCTCCCCAGCAGACTGAGTCACAAAAGCTCTGGGGATCAGGAGAAACAAAGAGAGAGGGAAGCCAGAGTGCTGACAGAGCCGGTGGCCATGGGCTGCAGGACTATAAAGAGGGGGTCCATAGAGGATGTGGCACCAGATGGAGACCCAGACTGTGCAGCGGGAGCTGGGTGAGTAAGGCTTTGGTGGTGCCTTTTCCTTTCCTTTCTTTCTCCCAAGAGACAAATGCAGAGGAAGAATAGTTGTCTCCTGCCTAGAGGTTAGAGCCTTTGAAGGTAGAGAAAGTGGGGGACTTTGATCAGTGGGCAGCTTCATTTGTTACCTTGAGGAGTCACCTATGACAATAACCATATCCATAGAAATCAAGACAGGGGATCAGTAAAAAGTAAACAGGTTATAGGAACAGGGAGGTGTAGAGAGCAGGAGGTGCTGCTTATCTGGGGACTCCACATAGAAATGCCAGAATTTTTGTGCATTAGTTCCTGGGTTGGATACCAGGGTAGAATCCTGAATGTTGGTTCTCAGTCTAGAAACTTGATATATACCTACCTGTCTTCTTTCTTCCTTCCTTCTCCTTCCCCCATCCTTCTCATCACACCATCAAAGATGACTACTTAACCTCTATGGTCCTTAGTCCTCATTCATAAAATAGAGGGTGGCGATGGTATTTGACTTGTAAGGACTAGATACATTAATGTGAGTAAAGTAGGGTCTTTCATAGAGTAAGCCTTTGTTGTATTTTTATAATTATCCTTTCTTCATTATAAACACACACACATACTACTACTACTACTACTACTACTACTACTACTACTACTAGGGGTTTAGTCTAATGATTCATACACACTGGGCAAACACTCTAGTACTGATCTATATCTCCAGCCCCTGCTACTACCCTCCACTCCATCCCACCCATTTAGAGAACTGGTCTCAATATGTAGCCCTAGCTAGCCTGGAACTCATAGCCCTTACTTTTGTTTGTTTGTTTGTTTGTTTGTTTTGAGGCAGGGTTTCTCTGTGTTGTTTTGGAGCCTGTCCTGGAACTCGCTCTGTAGACCAGGCTGGCCTCGAACTCACAGAGATCCGCCTGCCTCTGCCTCCTGAGTGCTGGGATCAAAGGCGTGCGCCACCAACGCCAGGCCAGCCCTTTTTATTTTGAGATAGTGTCACTAAATTGTCCAAGTAGGTCTTTTTTCTTTTTCTTTTTGTTTTTTACGAGACAGGGTTTCTCTGTATTGTTTTGGAGGCTGTCGGTCCAGCCTGGCCTCGAACTCACAGAGATCCGCCGGCCTCTGCCTCCCGAGTGCTGGGATTAAAGGCGTGCGCCACCACCGCCTGGCCCAAGTAGGTCTTGAACTTGCAATCCTCCTACTCACCATCTCATGTAGCAGGTCTGTACCACCAAGCCTAATTTCAGTAAGTATTTTTCAAATTACCCTCTGCCCCATCTAACCACAGGGTTGGCATGGTGCTGTATCAATCACCCAGGAATTGTCAGCCCTGCTATTGAGATGATCACCCAGTATATAGTCAGTAATGGCACAGATGAGTATTGTGAGTTTTGGGAAGTGAGGAAGAAGTCAAATCTGCGGGCTGGAAAAGGACAAGGTCAAAACAGATCTAGGAGACAGAGAGGAAGAAGGGATGGTAAATGGGTGCTGGGAAGACCATGAAGGATCCAAGTATAGGTTGCCTTTTAAATTAGGGCAGGTACTGTGGGGAATTCTGATCCTGCTGCCTAAATGACTAGATACATGGAGTCTGGACAGTTGTAAGGGAGTTGATATTAGGGTATACAAGGCCCAGGCAATGTTGTTCTTTGAGGGCAAGCAAGAGGACAGAAGATACATTTATCATGTGGTCCAAATTCCTTTGCAGTCTTTTTTTTTTTTTTTTTTTTTTTTTTTTCGAGGCAGGGTTTCTCTGTATTGTTTTGGAGGCTTTCCTGGAACTAGCTCTGTAGACCAGGCTGGCGTTGAACTCACAGAGATCTGCCTGCCTGTGTCTCCTGAGTGCTGGGATTAAAGGCATGCACCACCAAAGCCCGGCTGCCTTTGCAGTCTTTAATCTGCATTACTGTTCTAATTTTTAGTGACTTCATGTAAAAGGTTTGTTGATGGAAAACCTGAGAGGTTTGGGTAGTAGCACCAGAGCCAGGATCCCAAACAAAGTCTGGGACTTCAAACCTCTTTTTCTTTTCCCTGCGCCTTCTTACCTCACTAGCCTCATCCTGAAAGCCATATCACTGATGTGTGTCTTTCAGAAACTCTTCCAACCACCAAGATGGCTCAGACCAACCCTATGCCAGGGTCCATGGGACCATGGAAGGTAAGCTGGTCCAATCACATGGAAAATGGAAAGATCCAACAGGCAGAGCTGAAGAACTGTCACACAGTAGCTATACGGCTGTACTTATTCTTCGACAGTACCCATCCAACAAAAGCTGTTCTGGAGGAGGAAGGCCCATCCAACACCCAAAGACTGTTGGAAGACTGCCATGATGGGTGGGAGATGGTACTTGTTTCCTAGGCCAATTCTGACTTGCCTTAGATCCCAAATAAGCCATGGGATTCAGGCCTCCCTACTCAGTCTGAGGTTGGATTTAGCCATGAGCTGAAGTGGCAGATCCCAAGTCTTTCACTGTTTCCCTAACAATCGTTTCCTCATGGGACAGCTCTGAGGCAAGTTCACAGTTTTGGGAGCTTGCCAAGTAAGGAATCAAGTTCTTATAGAAAAGACAAAAGATTTATCACAATTCCTTCATACTTTAGAAGCAAAGAAATAATCCACAGGGTGCTTCTAGAAGTCTCAGATTCTTGGCCTCTGGGTCATATAGGTGCAGGACATTTGTTGGTCTGTCATTTGAGCTCTCACTGTCCCTGAAAGACCATTCTTATCATAAACTTAACCTGAACATGTCACTGAGTAGAGGTACTAATTTGAACCCTTTTGCCCTGTCTATAGTGGAAAGGACCTTATCAGGTATCCTGAGCTGTGGCTAGTGATGAAAATTACAGGATGAATACAAACTTTTGGGGGGGGCAGGGTTTCTCTGTGGCTTTGTTTTGTTTTCTTTTTGTTTTGTTTTTTTGTTTTTCGAGACAGGGTTTCTCTGTATTGTTTTGGAGCTCTTCCTGGAACTCGCTCTGTAGATCAGGCTGGCCTCAAACTCACAGAGATTTGCCTGCCTCTGTCTCCCAAGTGCTGGGATTAAAAGTGTGCGCCACCAACTTGAATACAAACTCTTAGTTTGCACCCCTATTCTTACTGCTGTACCTGGTTTTCCTTGTCCCATTTCAATCCATTTCAGATAACCATCTATGATCAGGAGAATTTCCAGGGCAAGAGGATGGAATTCACCAGCTCCTGCCCAAATGTCTCTGAGCGTAGTTTTGATAACGTTCGGTCCCTCAAGGTGGAGTGTGGCGCGTGAGTATGGACACCAACAGAGCTTCAGGCCCTTTTCAGGTCTCTTTAAGACATAGGACATATGAATAAGGATCTAGGAAGATGTTCCCCAGATGCTAATCACTTTTTAGAGAGGTGTCTTATTTCCTAAATGAAATCGCTACATGCCTAATTAATAACTCAAAGCTAGGGATGATGTTCATATCTTGGTAGTAGACTTGGAACAGGGTAGACAGTGAGAGCAATTGAATCTCTGCTTTTGAAGTCCATAGACCACTCCTTTTGATTCATTCAGAATATGAGAAGCCTTTTTTCCCCCATAGAAATAGGGAGAGGGGAATTATTTTTTCTTTTTGGTTTTTTGAGACAATTTGTGTGTGTGTGGGGGGGGCCTTAGCTGTGCTGGAATTAGCTCTGTAGACCAGTCTCTAGAGTGCTGGGATTAAAGTCATGTACCTCTTCCACCTGGCTTGAAGATAAATCGAGTTGACAGAACGTTTTTTTTTTTGTTTTTCGACAGAGTTTCTCTGTGAAAAAGTCCTGGCTGTCTTGGAACTCACTCTGTAGACCATGCTGACCTCAAACTCAGAGATCTGCCTGCCCCTGCCTCTGCCTCCAGAGTGTTGGCATTAAAGGCGTGTGTCAACACTACCCACCTAAATGACAGACCTTTTTATTACATACAAATAGATTTATGTCCCAGAGCAGACAGTTAGCTAATTTCTCTATTAAAAGGAATGAAATCTCAAGAATGCAGAGACACATTAGTTTTCAGTGTTCCAGGTAGTCAGTCTTGGTGAGATCCTCTTTTGTATTCTAATTCTGGCAAGCTGACCTAGGTGTGTACCCACACTAGTACTCTTGTCAGTCAATGACGAAGTGGCTTTGTATGTCCACAAGCTGCTCTGTACCAAAACAGAGTTCCTCAGCCCTTTGAAACAGGCAACACACACTTTAAGACAGCTTCATTAAATATGATTCAGGGGTTAACAAGTTGTAAGTAGAGCCGGGCGTTGGTGGCACATGCCTTTAATCTCAGCATTTGAGAGGCAGAGACAGGCAGATCTCTGTGAGTTCGAGGCCAGCCTGGTCTACAAGAGCTAGTTCCAGGACAACCTCAAAAGTAATACAGAGAAACCCTGCCTCAAAAAACAAAAACAAAACAACAACAAAAAAAATCAAGTTGTAAGTAACAAAGCAACTTTTGCTCTCTTAGAAGAGGTTTACAAGACATAGAACCAAAGAAATGATCACTGGATCATCAATCTGAAGTATTAGGTCACTAGAATGGAAACAGACCTTTGTTAATACACATTGCACTCATTACAAAGGGCTTTGTGATTGACTTGATATTTTATCCCACTATAAACTCATCTAAAACAAGAAAGACCTTGTCTCCAAGGCCATATAACATTCCCTATCTTTGGCAGCTGGATTGGTTATGAGCATACCAGCTTCTGTGGACAACAGTTTATCCTGGAGAGAGGAGAATACCCTCGATGGGATGCCTGGAGTGGGAGCAATGCTTACCATATTGAGCGCCTCATGTCCTTCCGCCCTATCTGTTCAGCCGTGAGTTTGAAATTTCAACATTTTTTTTTTGACACGTGAGTGGGGTAAAGAATGAGGTCAGACTGATATTTGTGTTGCTTTTGTCAATTAGTAGGATCTAACAGGGAGAATGGAAAAAAATAACACTGTTCCCTTCCTTTAAATTTGTGATTTGATTTTTCTCCCTTATGCTAAAAAGAAACTTCTTATAGAGGCAGGAAGCACATACTGGAGAACCAAAGTTCTAAAGGACAACCAGTGAGAAACCACTTACCATGTAGTACAATGCACATTTATGGTCAGTTAAGTGACAATACGTTAAGATTTCACTGAAGCAATAGGCAGGTATTCTAGTGCTGCTTAACTGCATTAATAAGTTTTTTAAATATTTATTTATTTATTATGTATACAGTGTTCTGCCTGCATGCATGCCTGCAGGCCAGCAGAGGGCACCAGATCTCATTATAGGTGGTTGTGAGCCACCATGTGGTTGCTGGGAGTTGAACTCCGGAAGAGCAGTCAGTGCTCTTAACCTCTGGGTCATCTCTCCAGCCCAACATTAATAAGTTTTTAACACCAGGTATTATTTAACAATGCATTAGGCTGAATTTTAAATTGAATCTGAAGATAAATATTTTTTACACTACTTGGCCACATTTAAAATGAGCAATTTCTTTGTTTAAAGATAGGCAGCAACTCATCATTTTCTTTCAGTTCCTTAACAATATCCAATTGTCCATTAAGTTCTCATTTCAAGCCGGGCATTGGTGGTGCAAGCCTTTAATCCCAGCACTCGGGAGGCAGAGGCAGGCGGATCTCTGTGAGTTCGAGGCCAGCCTGGTCTACAAAGTGAGTTCCAGGACAGCCTCCAAAGCCACAGAGAAACCCTGTCCCAAAAAACCAAAAAAAAAAAAAAAAAGTTCTCATTTCAGATATAACTAAACTGTCCAAACTTGGTCTCTTTTTCTAAATTTGAAAAAACTTTGGTGTCCCCATTTTCTCATTGTCGACAGAAGTATCTGACATGACTTAAATGAGTCAAGTTCTCTTTCAGTTTTAGTCTTTACAATGACTGATTTAGGGGCTGCAGTAAGATTAAAGTAGGCAGAAAACAGAATCTGAAAAATTTAAAGGCAGATCACAACAGTTGTCGATAAAAAAAATTACATTTCAGGAATAGGGTATACAGGCACGACCTGCCTCAGTCACCAAACTCTTTGTTCCCCCTCCAACACGGTGACTCCATCATGCTTCATTTAGTCTTTCCTTTTTTTCGAGACATGGTTTCTCTGTATTGTTTTGGAGGCTGTCCTGGAACTTGCTTGGTAGACCAGGCTGGCCTTGAACTCACAGAGATCCACCTGCCTCTGTCTCCCGAGTGCTGGGTTTAAAGGCGTGCGCCACCACCACCCGGCTGCATTTAGTCTTTCAGAGAGAGCTGGCAAGGCGGCATATACTTGAAATTCTAGTACCAGCAAACTTGAATACAATCTTGAATCTGAGGCCAGTCTAGGGTACACATCAACGTTTGAATAAAAGTTTCTGAAGTTTAAACAGAAACAGACCACTAGATTTCTAAGAGTTGAAAATGGTCCTGAGTGAACCTTGTCTTATGGCTTACTCTTATGGCTTTTCTCATGAGGTTAGATAAGAAACAACTCTAAATCTAAATCATGTACTTTACTGGGGAGGTTACTTCAAACATAAATGCATGCACACATGTACTGAACATAACGGTTTAATTTGTGAGCTCTTGCTGGGGCTGTAGGTAAGACAATTACACAGCATGAATGAGGCCTCTGATTAGATTCCAGCAGTACCAAAAAACAATGTCGTATATTGGTTAAGTTCAAAGTTTATCTTTAATTTGGGTTAAATACAATTACAGCTCTTTCTTGTTTTGAGACAGTTTGTGTTCCCTTGGCTGTCCTGGAACTAGGTCTGTAGACAAGGCTCCTCCTGCCTCTGCCTCCTGAGTGCTGGGAATGAAAGAGTGCACCATAACCACTCAGCAGGATTTTTCTTATACATCCCTGTTTAGCCCGAATCTTTTGTCAATGATCATGTATTATATACCAAAGGACAAAAAATTTTTTTGGAAAAAAAATGCCAGTAGAATAATCACACTACTAAGGTTTTTTTTTTTTTTTTGGAGGGGGTGGGAGGATTGTAGACCAGGCAGGTCTCGAACTCAAGGTTTTAACTTTTGGATTATAGAATCATAAAGAGTCTAAGATTACCATCTTTGAGAAAGAGAACTTTATTGGACGCCAGTGGGAGATCTGTGATGACTACCCTTCCTTGCAAGCCATGGGTTGGTTCAACAACGAAGTTGGTTCCATGAAGATACAATGTGGGGCGTAAGTACAAAAACAGGGCTGGACCACATTTCAAAGCAATTCTTATACTTAAGATACCAAGGATCGCTGGGCATTGGTGGCACATGCCTTTAATCCCAGCACTCGGATCTCTTGAGTTTTGAGACCAATCTGGTCTACAGAGCAAGTTCCAGGACAGGCTCCAAAACAATACAGAGAAACCCTGTGTAAAACAAAGATACCAAGGATCATGGTTACTAGATTCCATGCACTGCACTACCTGGAATTCTTTGCTCCAGCTACTACTCTATTTTCTTTCACTATCTCTGTAAAAGCTTTTACATTACCAACACTTTTCACGATTAAGCCAATCTTTTGTATCCACACTATGCTGAGTAAACAGTGCCTAACAAGTTAATGACTTGTTTTCTAAGTACCCCAGTATCACTGTGTTGAGGAGAAAAAGGACTCAGATTTGGGGGTATGTCAGGTTCTTAATCAGGTCTAATATGTAATATATGCTTTGAATTTCTTAGCTGGGTTTGCTACCAGTATCCTGGATATCGTGGTTATCAGTATATCTTGGAATGTGACCATCATGGAGGAGACTACAAACACTGGAGAGAATGGGGATCTCACGCCCAGACTTCCCAGATACAATCAATCCGCCGTATCCAACAGTAGTAGATCAAAAGTTCCAAATTTCCTCAAGCATGAAACCTTGCTAAATAAACTCTAGAATTTTATGTTCTGCCCAGACACTGCTTCCAAATGTTAGCTGCTAAAATCCATAATAAATGTCATTTAAAAAAAAATGCCTTGGAGACTGACTGAATCAACTACCACTGAAATCCTTCCTTTGTGGCTGACATTTTAAAGATAGTCTTGATAAAGCCACAAATCCCCAGGCCAAGCAGAAACAAGCACACCTTTAGCCCCAGGCCAAGTCAAAAGTTCCATCTATAGGGTTAGTTGTAGGACAGCCAGAACTACAGAAAAATCTTGGAAAACAAATACCCCAAAATTCCCTTGCATGCTCATGTCACATTTGCAGGGCCAAGGACAAATCCCCACCAAGAATCATGCCAACCCCATCACTGCCTGTGCATCTTCTCCCCCTATCTCCATTATCCTAAACCTTAACCTGAACATTTCTCAACTCCTAAGAAAACAAATGGTAAATTTCTCAAACACGTATTTTTAAAAGTTGTGTAAGAGTCGGCCGTTGGTGGCCCACGTCTTCAATCCTAGCATTCAGGAGGCAGAGGCAGGTAGATCTCTGTGAGTTCGAGGCCAGCCTGGTCTAGAGAGCAAATTCCAGGAAAACCTCCAAAGCAATACAGAGAAACCCTGTCTTGAAAAACAAAAAAAGTTGTAAGAACTTAAGGACATTGGTGGCTCAAGCCTGCAATCCCAGCACTTGGGAGACAAAGGCAGACTGACCTCCTACAGTTTGGGGCCAGCATGGTCTACCAAGTGAGTTCTAGTACAGGCTCCAAAGCTACACAGAGACACCACCCACTTGAGGTAGTTCAAACCACTTAAATCCAGCTGCAGCAATCTGTCTCTAGTCTCCACAGGCACCTCATTATCTCACCCCAACTCCATTTAAAAAACCAACAAAAAACCTGTCCTTTAAAGTTGTAAGACTCTAATGAAGCCCCTCTGGAAGGCAAAAAGACATCTCAAAGATTATTAAAGAAAAACAAGATCGTCAAGGTCCTGCTGGGAGGCAGAGACAGGATCTTTGAGTTTGAGGTCAGCCTGGCCTAAAGGTTCATTACAGGCTCCTAAGCTACAGAGAAACCCTGTTTCAAAAAAAGAAAAAAAAAGAGACACATAATCATAGTATCTTTAAGACTGAAGTTCTTTGTACAAGTGAGCCACCTTTGGAAAAAATAGTCAATATCACAAGTTTTCAGTAAAGATTAAAAAAATTAAAGTACACACACACACAAAAACCACAAACACCCCAAAAACTTGAAATTTTTTTATTCAACAATGTACACTTATTGTCTTATTTGATCTACAAATCTCTCAAGTTTTGCTGATAAAATAAGTGAATCTGAGTATGGTTTTGGAGGTTAATTTTTTATTTTTAAAACACTGAACATTAAGACATTGATAGGAAGATCATCATGTAACTGATACTTCCTTGGAATCCATAACATCAGCAACGACTTTAATAAGTACCTAAGAATTAGTTATTTAGCAAAATGGTAAATTTCTGGTCGCTGTTCTTCTATCTAGAAAATATCTAATTACTTTTTAAACTGGGCAAAAAAATTTTTTGAGAGGGAGACGGGCCAACATCTAACATAACTGCAATCCACTAATTTTCTTCCCCAAAATTAAAAGGCAACACAGCTCTAAGTATATGTCTGTGTACACAATACAGAGATTACTTCTCCAATAATTTGTTATGTTGTTGCTATGCAGGCCAGTCTGACTTTGAACTCACAATCCTCCTGCTTTAGTCTTCTGGTTGCCAGGATTACAGGTGAGTACCATAAAACCTATTGACAAATGCGAAGAGTACTCAAAGCCATCCATGCTGTTGCTACTACCTGTGTTTATAAGGCTATGCATTATAGACCACATTTTGAATATTTTATGACTTAGTTATTAACTTCTACTATGAATAAAATTTTTGCTGTCTTTTCAAAACCAACAACACACACCAAGGTGAAAGAGAAGATATAGAAGTTACAAAATATCTCTAAGAGCCTGGGGAAAACACCATTGGTAATATCTTTTACCCAACTCTCCTACAAATGTCCTAAGGAAATTACAGAAGTTATGTTAACAGATGAATGACAAAATCTGGCCAGCACATCTATCTATACAACCTTATTAAGTGCACATTTCATGATAAGTGAAGCTATGTAGTAACATGCAACTGCAGCAAATGAACCTAATTTTTTCCCAACTTCTGAATTTGTTCTGATCAGCTTGGGTTTTAAAAACACAACCTGTGTTCTAACCATCCAGTCAATCAAATTCATGTTAGAGCAATGAAGGAAAAACAAAAACAAAGCTAAACAGGCTATCCTACATTTAAGCCAGCTTTAAGATATAACATTGTCACAAGAGCTTCATATGGCAAAGGTCTTTCCTTCATTTCAGCTGGAATGACTTTCCATCTTTTTCATATTCAAAATTTCACTAAGAATTTCACTGGGTCCAATGGTTTAATAAAGCTGACACAACTACCCTGTTTCAAGAAAAGTCCTTATAATGTAAGTCAAGCTCTCATTTCAACTAAACTTTATTCAGCAGGTGCCAGTTTTCCTCCCTTTAGCTTCTACTTCCACTGATGAGCTAGCCCAAAATTGTAACTTTTAACCATGTTTCCAAGGGTGGAAAAGCTAAGAATAGCAAAATAATGAGATTACTGTTGGTAATGACACACAAAACTTTCAAAACATGTGCATAGCTTTATTCATCTACTTAGATCTAACCTTTTCACGGAGCTTCGGCAAAACTGAGTGTGCAAAATGCATTTCTAAAACGTAATGCAAGCAAAGCTTTTCACATTTACACTGGCAGGAAATACAGAAACTAACAAGTCACATTAGGGAGAGTTCAGATCTGTTTTGTATTTGTTTTTAATAACAAGAATTGCACAGTTTATTAGAGACAATTGTTGCAGACATGAATATTTAAAAATTTCTAAGCAAGGTGCTTTAACAATAAAAAAAAATTTGTTGTTGGAAAGAGCCAATGATTTGGTGCAAAGCTCACAAAGAATCCCCGATGAATGTGGACTCCCATCATCCTCCTGTGTTTTTGCAAAAAATGCTTTTAATAACACCTTTCATAACGCTAAAGGTGACAGCAAGCTGAAACTTTTCAAAGCGCACAAAGAAGTGGTGTCATCACATTACCTGAAGGTGTTGGGGTAGGTAGTGAGGAAGAATGTATTTACTATTTCCCACTACAGACCAGCCACTAACAGACTGAAAAAAAAAGGGGGGTTAGGGTGGGGGGGGACTAGTGAAAAAGTCATTCCCCCTGTTTATATATTTCCAGTTTGACAAGATCTATGACTTTAAACAGAGAGCACCAGTTGGGCAATAGAATGAGCATTTCATTTCAACTGCATTAAAAATCAGTGAGGTGTTAAGGACCATCAGCATCTCAGGCATTACTACATGGCCTTTCCAAAGTTAATATACATGCAAGGCACACTGATATAAAAATAGATCTCTGGCCAACAAATATTAAGTAAGCAAATTAAAAGTTTGGCTCTGTAATATTGGCAACATCAAAACATAACCAGATAGCTTTGGACCACACATCTTTCTCACATTCCTCCACCTCATTTGGTGTCCATCCCCTACATACTTTGTGGGTTTTTTCTCCTTCATGTTTGAGTATGTGCTTGAGAAAAGTTTTCCTTTGTCAAGTAGCAGTCTTATTACACTTTGTTTACCTTTGTTAATTAATATATACTAGAGAAGCAGAATATGAGTGATTTAGGGCAGCATTAATTTACTGATACAATTAAAAAAAAAAACAGCCAGCTTACTGACAAAACAAAAACTTCCTTTAGTCCTTCCCAATTCTTTTTGAAGCAGAGAGGGAATAATAGGAACAAAGCTAAGATTTAAACTATTTTCAGTAGTAGAAGACACTTTAAGGCCAAAAAGATTAATATTAACCAAAAGTTTAATTCCTAAGTTACGGTCCTCTTCATAGGTGAACACAAACTACAGACTACTGACTCACTCCTGAAGAGAATTATAAACTCTGTTCACTTGTTAGTTAGTGGCTGTGCTACAGAGAAAAGGTATTAAAGCAACCTATGGTATATAGTAATGTTAAAAAGTGCATCACATTCTTGATTTTCAATTTCTCATAGCAGCAGCAGCAGGCGTTATCTAAGACAAAAAAGTTTTCATTCTAAAGATGCAATACCTAATGAAATGTATTTAAGATTGTGAAAACTTATCTACAAAAGATAAATGCCAAGACTTAACAGACAAATAGAACTAACTAAAGGTATTCGTTCATATTTACATATTAAAACCACTTTGTTAACACCAATCTTTATAATTAGCAAAAGAAATGTGCACTTTAAGAATAAAATAGATGACACTAAAGCAGTATCCATTTTGGAGCCTTTGTTTAGCACCTGAGGAAAAGGGGGCATATATGGAAAAGCTATTGTAATGTTGATCTAAGTTGGTTTGGTCTGTAGATTACAAATGCTATACAGTGAAAGCAAAAGTGAACTAGCTTTTATAATAAGGCTGTTAAAAAAAGACCACAATGTTATAAAATGGCTTCAGAACTCTGGACAGAACATTTTCTGAATAGGAAATGTCTGAATCAGCAATCCCACTACAGCTCTGGTATCTGTTAGTTCCTAACTGCTATTTGCTAGTCCCTGTAATACACAAGAAATAAACTACTGATGCTTTGTTGGGTATTTTATGACAGAAAGCTTCAAACTCTCACACTACTGGCTGGTATCCTAGAATTGCTTCAAGACCCTTCTTTTTTAAACTCAGTAAATCAGCACTTAACTGGAGTTGATGATTTATCATTTTTTATAAAAACAAAACGAAAAAACCTAGAATGGCCTTCCTTCTCACTTCTAAGTGTTTCTAAAGATTGATTTTTAGAACTCTTAGCCTGTGTACTTCTGGCAATCTTTAAGCAGCTTTGCATGCTTCGACTCTTGTCCTGTGTCTCCTTTTCAAATTTCTGGGAGACAGGGAAGATAAGGAAACCCCACCCTTCCTAATAGACAGACCTATCAAAATCCATCCAGTCTAGTATAGTCAACAGGCTACTGTTCATTATATTTATTTGACACACTACACTGTACTAGTTCTTCAGACGAACTGTGTTATGTGAAGATATGGTCCAGTGGCACCAAACCTCTAGCACTTTGAGCATTAAGTGATTGAAGAGACACCCTCACATACCCCATTGGACAGACTTTTAAGTTGAGCCAAGTCTTAAACTTCTTGCCTATGGCAATCTAGTAGAAGTTCACAATTACACACCCTGATCTTAAAGTTTACAAAAGAAAAAGCAGCTTTTGGTGAGGGCTATCAATAAGTCTAACAAACAAGTGTGAAATTGCTGCTACTGTGTCCTATTTTGTGAATAAACTACTACAACATTTGAGGTTTACCCTATTTTCCTCTTAAAACTGTCATTTAAAGAAAAAAATCACAGCACTTTTTTCCTTTGTGAAATTTTTGCAGATTCTGAGTAACCAGGAAAGTAGATGAAAGACAGTAAAGAACTGTCACTGACAAGTCTCTAGATATTGGTTTTCCCCTCCTAGAAAGTAGAGAAGGGCAGGCTACCTTAGACACCATAAACACACTTTATTGATGTGAAAGTTCATTACTAAAGTTAGAGGAAACACTATGCAATTAGCTTCAGGTTGTTGAAGTGGGGGTGAATAGAGAAAAGATAAATACACCCTGTCTTTTGTGGGGAAGGGAGATTATTCCAGACATTTTACACGTGAGTGGTATGTGACGCAAAACCTACAATCAAGACAAACTGAAAGAAATCATCACCCATAATTATTTCTTAGTTACTAAAAAAATAGGTCATGATTTCATCCATAGTGCCATTTTTTCTAGTACTATCCCTTTAAGGATTTAAACCACCCAACTTTATTCCTGTAATGAAAACAAATGGCCAAAATAAATACAAGTTTCATTCTCTGAATACTAATATGTCTTACACATACATTCATTATTAGTATCTTCATCTTTCCCTCACACACAAGCACCCCAACACACATACACACACATCTTTTTCAGTCATTTAAATGTAGGGATGTTAAAAATCCCCTCTAGACTGTATTTGGTTTATGCTACAGTACTAATACTCTGAGTTGAAGGAAAATTCTTTATACCATCAACATACTGTTATTTAAATGTGCTAAATTAATCACAGCTGATGTTTCTTTAGAAGCTTACACAAAAATAATCAGAAAACAGATGAACTCGTAAGACTTTTTTTTAATAAGTGCTCTGTAAGGAATTGTGTGAGGACCTAAGGAGAAAGATTGAGACAAGTATCAAACAGCACAAAGGAGATCTGTCCCAAAGTCCTGCTTGTATTGAGGCAATTAAGTCCATTAACCCAATGTCCAAAAAATACTGACAGTAAATGATGGGCCACAAGGGATCCCAGAAAGTTGAGACATTTCTATACTATATATACCTCATAACTATATCAATCAAGAAAATATCAGTGGAGAAAACAAAGTGAAATGTTGCATTGTTTCATTTAGAAGTGAGACTCAACCTTTGGACAGAGAAGGGGTACATTCTCTTTAGCTTCTCTGAACAGAGGCCTGAAGGATACAGAAAAGGAATTATGAAAGTGAAGACTTTTAAAGGTACTAAATATTACTTCTAAGTTTAAAAGCCCAATTCAGGAAACTGGATTTTTCTTTCCATTTTGATTATGTTCAACCTTGTATGACACAAACCAAGGAAGTTTTTTTGTGATTTGTGCAACAGAAGAACTTTAAAATTCCAGACAAGCAAAATGGACGTTAAAAAAACTGGGGTGAAGGATTTGGCCCTAAGGCGACAAGTGGTTACACAAAGGCAATCAAACACACAGAACTTTAAAACCTATAAAACAAACTGGAGCCTCTTTTTTCTTTAGTCAACCCTTTTTTGAACTTTTTGAAATTTTTTATTAAAAAAAAAAAAGAAACACAAAACACAAGACTTTTTTCAGTTCAGTATGTGGCGTGTTGCATTTTCCAGTTTGTTCAATGCTTTAAAGCTCAAGGATGCCTCACTTTGATTTGTACACGGGCCTGAAGCATCCTAGCTTTTGGCAAGCAAGCAGGAGACTCAACAAGAACAAAAAGGAAAAAGAAAATAAAAATAGGAACAAAGCACTAAATGCAGGGCACATCTGTAAACATATTATACATTTGAAAATTACAATATCAGTAAAAGTGATACAGTTTACAGGTGAAATGAAACTATCTGAAACTGGCCTACCACAAGTTTCTGAACCTGGACTGATACAATAAGTTATTATATATATTACGTATAAAAAGTTTTTGTTTACATCACGTGGAATTGGCATTCCATGCTTATACTGTTTTAAAAATCTAAGCAGGGCAGAAATCCAGACTAAAAAGTATTTTTCTCTGCGGTAAATCAAATAGCTTCTTTCATGAACTATTTGTTAAAAACCTGAAATAATTAACAAAACCAGAAAATTCTCCATCCATACTACAATCTCTCAAAACTGGACATTTCTTAGAAAACAAGAGTAAAAAGTACTTTCTCCCCAAATTTGTCCAGGGGATCCAGTTTGCCTTTGTTAGAAGACTGCAACCCTGTAAATGCCCCGCTATTTTAACTTGTATTTGACATACATGGATACATTAATATTTCTCTGTATGTGTGTGATGTGATGCATCAGGCCAGAGAACTTGTTATGCCACTAACATCACCCAGTCTTAAATTGGACCCACAATTCACACACACTTACACTCACTCACTCTCTCATATGCAATACACAAGCTGCAACATAACAGGATGGTAATGTGATGATAAGACAGGGCTAATGCTGTTTTCTGCCCCAAACAAAATTTCCAGAATTTCACATTATTTTCCTTAAAATAAAAACAAAAAGAATCTTGCTCTAATAAAATATATTAAGATATAATTAGAAGCTAGTAAGCTCAGAAGTAGAATTTGCATGAAAACACACCTTTTACAAGCAGTGTTTATTACCTCCTCACTGGCTAAAAGACATTTTCCATGAACTTTTTTTTTCCTTTTTAGACTTAGCTGAGAAACTGAAATTATAAAAATTTACAGAAAGATACATAAGTTTCTCTTAGATGTTTGATGAAAAAGGAGTACACGCTTAGTGTTAGTGACAGAGAGCAAGTCTGAGCACCTACAGCGAAAAGCAGAATATATTTTTGCTCCCAGTTACACAATTACAATGGATAATTATCAGCCAATTACTTGTTCTGCTTTAAATGACACTATTGGATTTGTCAGCTGTTAAAAGTCAAACATTTAACCAAAGTTAACTATGTGCCCACAAACTATTCCAGGATTGTAGAACTTCAATGCCCTCCCCCTATCCCCACCCACAAAAAAATAAAAGGAAAGGAAGGAACTATTTCCCCAACACCCCACAGAGGCTGCACAACTCCTGGCAAGACATGCAAATCATTGGATTAAAAAAAACAAACAAAAAACAAACAACAAAAAAACATCCCTGCAAACTTCAAGGCATTTATCCAGCATTCTGGCAGGGCTCAAAATAAAACCAAAAGATCAAGGGCGGAATAGGGGAAAATGTTGCGTCATTCTGGGTTCCCCGTGATTAGTGTATCACTTTAGTCACAGAACAAGATAGAGATACCTAGTAAGTGGATTTGCCTTTCCAGTGGGTCATTTGTTGCCCAAGTCGATGACAGCAGGAACTTTAGAACCACGCTTGTTAAGTCTGTATTCATTAATCATTTGCATTCACACTTAACAACAAAAACTAACAAAAAAAAAAAAAAAGACTATTCGGTACCGGAGATTAAATAACCATGTGTAGTCTCTTGAAATAAATTTGATTCCTTAAGAAGTCTAATTACTTTCAGTTGCCTTTTTTAAATAACTATATATATATATATATGTATATATATATATTTGTATATATTATCCTGTGATTCTACTTATGGTTCCTCTGCTGCGTTGAAGATCTAGGAGCATAAAAGCCTTGTGTCCCCCATGAACGGTGGCTCTAATGCTGCAGAAAGGTTACAAATAGGCAGTCTGGTCCTTCATTGATCTGGACTATCCATGGCTTCATTGTAAGTGATTATCCTTTTGGGATCTAGAAGCAAAAAAGAAAAAAAGAAGTGAATTAATTAAAATCAAAATAAAACCCCTAGAATTAGCCCCCCCCAAATCCCAAGCAATCACCATTTAAACTGCTATACATCTGACTAATTTTTCTCTTTTTTTTAAATTAAAATAACTAGATCACATTTTGGTTTTATCCCAAATGGGATCTAGTTTTTCAATTAAAAAATGTACCTGTCCAGCACTCCCAACAAATAAATTCCCAACATTGTCCTCTACCAATCAGTAGGGGCTTCACCTAGAGACTAACAGTAGGTAAGTTAGTTTAATAAGGAGTTTACCTTATGATTCAACTGAAGTTTAAGTCAAATAATTAAATGCTAGTAGAAATTCTTGAGTTTATTTTATTCTTTTTAGCAAAGAAAATATTTTTTGTTTGCTTTTAAGACAAGATCTCGCCAGGGGGTTGATGGTGCACACAACTTTAATCCCACCACTTGGAAAGCAGAGGCTGGTGGATCTCTGAGTTCGAGGCCAGCCTGGTCTACAAAGAGTTAGTTCCAGGACAGCCTTCAAAGCCAGAGAAACCCTGTCTCAACCCCCCCTCCCCACAAAAAAGTTAGTATGGTTTAGTAAACAGGAAAACTAGGAACTAAAGGATACTTTACTTTCCTAGCATCCTGGGTTCTTCAGTACCTGTCCCTCCCCCAAACAGGGCATGCAAGCCTTTAATTAGCTATTTAGTAGAAAGGCCTGAAAATACTCAACAGTTTTTCTTGGTATAAGAATTAACCAGCCGGGCGTTGGTGGCGTACACCTTTAATCCCAGCACTCGGGAGGCAGAGGCAGGCGGATCTCTGTGAGTTCGAGGCCAGCCTGGCCTACAGAGCGAGTGCCAGGACAGCCTCCAAAACTACACAGAGAAACCCTGTCTCGAAAAAACCAAAAAAAAGAAAAAAAAGAAAAAAAAAAGAAAAGAAAAGTTACAGGCACTAGAACAACTGGTACAGGAGCAACCAATTATCCAAGCACAGGGTGATAGTGACAGTTGTCTTTAACTCCAGCACTTGGGAGGCAGACGCAGGCAGATCTCTACAAGGCCAGCCTGGTCTACAGAACTCCAGACAGTCAAGGGTACGGAAGAGATCCTGTCTTGAATCATGCCCCACCCAAAGAATTAACCTAGCTTAAACCAGACAGTGACAGTACACACCACTGAGATTGAGGACAACCAGGGCTACTCAGAGCAATCTTTGGGAACCCCACCCCTACCAAAATAATCATCATAATCATCATAGCCTAGCTTTACAAGGAGATAGTATAAAAATAAAATATCCTTTCTGGAATTCCACAGGCAACCTGGTATGAAGACAATATTCATTTCTATAGCCAATAGTCATTTTATAATACAATTAGATTTCAAGGAGATCCTTTTCTAGTCTCCCCTCACCCCGCCCCATTGTGTTTAATTTGAAATGTACAAGGAAAGCAACAACCCACCACGACCAATTAAATTGTTCCACTCAAGGTTTCTGTGTAACAGCCCTGGCTGTCTTGAACTCACTTGATATACCAGGCTGGCTTTGAACTCACAGAGCTCTGCGTGCCTCAGCCTCCCAATGTTGGGATTAAATTTCAAGAAGGCAACTCTTAAGTGTTTGCTAACTACCATTAGGCAACAGCTATGTTAAAATAAGACTTGATCCTTGGAATGTGTAAGAAACAAGGGAGAGCAGCAATGATGCCTACAAAGCCCAACAACCAGCAAGGGCATGATAACAGTAGTGGCACGAATACTTTGGCAGTAAACATCAAGTGTCTGATGAGATTTGTTATACACTCAGTAAGAGGGAAATCATTCCCGGTACTAGAAACCTGGTCAAATACCTATAAGCTAGCCCATGTTTGCCTAAACATGAGCTCAACATGGACAACAGATAAGTAAGGTGAACAAGGAAAGCCCAGGAACCTCAACCCTACACAAAGAACTACAGACAGCTAAAAATCACTCGAGCACTGAGAAACAGTATTCCCCAGGGAGGCGCACACCAATTGATTATCTAATATCAAATACTCAGTACCCCAAAAACATATACAAGTAATATACCAGCCGAGAGGGTTGTTATTTATGCATTTAGGAGTATGTACACACAGGCACAAACACACACATATGCATAAAACAAAAAATGCAAAGAGATCAACATTTGAAAGCAATCAAGGTGATGAATAACAGAAGGTTTGGAGGGAGGAATGGGGAAAATTACACAATTATAATGTATCAAGAAGAGAAAAAGAAAACAAATATTAGAAACCAGGTGTGAGCTGACTTCATAACACAGAGTCAAAGAGAATCTAAGGCAGTTACTGGTTTTTCTTTCTTTCTTTTTTTGTTTTTCGAGACAGGGTTTCTCTGCGGCTTTGGAGGCTGTCCTGGAACCAGCTCTTGTAGACCAGGCTGGTCTCGAACTCACAGAGATCCGCCTGCCTCTGCCTCCCGAGTGCTGGGATTAAAGGCGTGCGCCACCAACGCCCGGTAGTTACTGGATTTTCAGTTATATTAATTAACAAAGCAAATGACACAATTAGACTACAAAAGATTTATTTTGTGTATGAGTGCTCTACTGACTTTATGCCAGAAGAGGGCATCAGATCTTACTACAGATAGCAATGAACCATCACCTGGTTGCTGGGAATTGAACTAAGCAACTCTGAAAGAGCAGAGGCTAATCACTGAGTCATCTCTCCAGCCTCCTACTACAGGATTCTAAATATCCTAGTCTAACATCAGTAATCACTTTTCCAGGAAACTCTAAATTCCCAAACACAACATGTGGATTTCACACACAGTCCCTTTCCTCCTTGTCAAATATTGATTACAGAATTTTCTACCGTTTATATTTCCAAACACCATTCCAGAACACAATCTAGATGTTTCTCTAACATCGAAATTTTAGTCAACTATGAATTTTAATTCTTAGGCTAATTTGTGTACCATACAAACAGGCAGACTGGCCAAAGATAAAAACATTTATATCAGCTTCCTCATTTATATTTGGAAGAGACAGGAAGGCACCAGGAAGGCTATAATAATGGGGGTCATACCCACCGCTTATATATTAACCATGAGCTCTACCAAGGAGTAAAAAACCTCTGCCAGGCATGGTGGTGAACACCTTTAATCCTAGCACTCACAAGGCAGAAGCAGCCAGTCTGGAAAAAAAACTCTTGTAATCACATCAAAGTAGAAAACCATTGCAACAAGTATAGTATTTCCTTTTTCCCTTCTACAGGGTCTTATATTGTAGCACAGAATAGCCTTGAACTTAAAAGCCTCAGCATTCACAGAGCTGGTATTACAGGTGGGCCAATTAGCAGTCTTGGTATGGCAACTACTGACTTTTGACTTCAGTTAGTTAATACAAAATCCAGAGGCTGTTCATTTGGCAGGCCATTATTCCAATTATTTTCACTAAAGCAAATGTCATGATTTTTGATTAGTATTAAAATTTCAAATAACCATTCTTACCTTGCTTCTGCAAATTCCATATAGATTCCATTTCTATAAGAGAAAAAAAAATTTACACATCAAGCTTCAATGAATGCTCTACTTCTATCCCTTAAAATGCTGTGCATTATCATTTACATTCATGAGATGTATCACCACAACCAGCCATTACCAATATATTTAAATGTTAGATTATACTGGTTCGAATTTAGTATGATCTTCAAGACCCTAGGCATATCTACCAGAGAAGATGACCTGAATCAACTTTACAGATACCAAACATAATGACATAATTCTTTCTCCTTGGAGGACTAACAAGAGAACTATAATAACCTGATCAAATATATAAAGGAATTGTTATGTACTAATGCAGATCATATTCACCACTTCAACATTATTACTAATACCATAAAAAAGGGCTTCTTTTAAAGTTATCTTTGTCTCTGAATCATACGTGACCTAGGTTTTTTGTTTTTTTCTTGAGACAGGGTTTTCTCTATGGCTTTGGAGGTTGTCCTGGAACTAGCTATTGTAGACCAAGTTGGCCTTGAACTCACAAAGATCCGCCTGCCTCTGTCTCCTGAGTGCTGCTGGGATTAAAGGCGTGCACCACCAACGCCCGGCGACCTAACTTATTGTAATTTTGGGGGGTTTTTGGAAACAGGGTTTCTCTTGTAGCTCTTGTAGACCAGGCTGGCCTCAAACTCACAAGAGACACGCCTGCCCCTAATGCCTGAGTGCTGGGATTAAAGGTGTAAGCAACCACTACCAGGCTATGACCTATTTGAATACATCCAAAAATAAGCTTATCATGGTTGAACTGAGGGAGAAAATATGAATCACCTACACATAAACAATAGAAACTCATACGCAATAGAAATAGTTATTTTCGGGGGCTGGAGAGATGGCTCAGAGGTTAAGAGCACTGACTGCTCTTCCAGGGCTTCTGAGTTCAATTCCCAGCAACCACATGGTGGCTCACAACTGTCTACACATCAGTCTGGTGCCCTCTTCTGGCGTGTAGGCAGAACACTGTATATGTGATGGGAAATAAATAAATCTTAAAAAAAAAAGAAATAGTTATTTTCATTTTTTTCTTTGAATATACACTTCAGCCAAGGGTACATAGCAAGACCCTGCATAAAAAATTTTACTGCAGGGTGCTGGTGGCACGCGCCTTTAATCCCAGCACTTGGGAGGCAGAAGCAGGCAGACAGATCTCTGTGAGTTCCAGACCAGACTAGTCTGTCTACAAAAGCTAGTTCTAGAATAGATTCCAAAGCCACACAGAGAAACTGTCTTGAAACACTCCACCCCCCTTTTTTTGTGAATTCCTTTTAAGTGATCATTCAAATAAATAAAGCAGATGAAAAATCAACCAAAAGAAAATTTAAAATGGTGTGTCATTGGGGGTTTCTCACACTGCTGATAATTTTTTACTGTATCTTCTCTCACATTTCTATGTCAAAGCCATCTTCCAAAGCACCACCTTTATGCCAAAAATTTATGAAAATTTATCTTCCTTCCACTTAGCTACCAGTTAGAAAAGTAAACCCTAAATTTACCTACAAACTAGTGCCACATTAATCTAGTTGAATACAGATCTGTAAGTCAGCTAACACCAAAAAACATCTGGGTTCAACTTAAGTTTTTCAATCTTTATAAATGCTAGGATATTAATCTGTTATCTTAAAACAAGTACAAAGTAATTGGGAATTATCGGTAACAAAACCTGTGGCTTAAGATTTTCTTTTTAATTCTATGTATGTCTGGAGAAGAGTGTGCTTGATGAGTGCAGGTCTTCAAGACCTCAGAGATTGGTGCCTCAAACTGCATGCTCTAAACTGAGCCATTTCTTTAGCCCTATCCTGTGACTATGAGCATGTGATCATCATTCTTTCATCAGTACCTTCTTTTTCTGAATAAGACACTACCCGCTTCTCAATCATTTCTCTAGGGAGTCACGGGCTTTTCCTTTTAATGGTGAAGCCAAAATCTGAGTGAGCCTTATCTGTGTTTGTTGCATTCATTATCCACTCTCTCAGGTGTTTTGAGACATGGTTGCCGGGACTCCAACTATCACATAAATGATGTTGAACCCCTACTTCCACCTCCTAAATACTGAGATTACAGGCATTTACCATCAATTGTGGCATTAATCATATACTATAAATATAGTGAATGCTAATTAATATTTCCTTAAAAAATCTGGCCATTGATGCCCCTATTTAGGCACTTTGCCACTTTTTTGTGGCTTTTTCCTGTACTAGGTATTAAACCTAGGTCTTTAATCAAGTAGACACAATCCTAGGTAAATTTGTAATCCACTGCCTCTGACTCTCAAAGCTATACTACCAGGCCCTGCTTTTTGTTTGAAAGTCTTATATAGCCTGGGCTTGCCTTGAAATGACCATTCTACTTCCATCTCCAGAATGCTGAGATTACAGCACTTGCACACCCAACTCAGTGCATGTTTTTTAACATTCTAAAATACCATCAAATGCTTGACATGCTTCAGTGCCAATATTAGACAGGCAAGTTCTACTCAGTTTTTTTGTTTGTTTTGTTTTTCGAGACACGGTTTCTCTGTGGCTTTGGAGGCTGTCCTGGAACTAGCTCTTGTAGACCAGGGTGGTCTACTCAGTTTTAAATTAGGTTTGGACTCTCAGTCCTGTTTATCTCCTTTTATAGGGAATACAACCATTCATTGTGAGTATTCCAGAGATAATAAATAGTTACCTGAACTGGATATGTACATTAAGAGTTAGAGTTAATATAGTCTAGGGGCCTGAGAGATGTCTCAGTGGACTTGGGTTGAATTCCCAGCACTTACAAGGCAGCTCACAGCTATCTGTAACCTCAGTTCCAGAGGACCTGACACTGTCACAAGGATATACATACAGGCAAACACTGATGCTCACAAAAAAAGTTAACAGAGAAATTAATGGAGAGCCAGGCATTGGTGGCGTACGCCTTTAATCCCAGCACTCGGGAGGCAGAGGCAGGCGGATCTCTGTGAGTTGAGGCCAGCCTGATCTACAGAGTGAGTTCCAGGACAGCCTCCAAAGGTACAGAGAAATCCATTCTCAAAAAGCTAAACAAGCAAAAAACAAAATAAGCACAAATATGAAAAAAATTTAGGATGGTCAGTTTGCATATCTGAGTAAGAATGGAAAGAAATCTGGAGGAACATCATTTGGTAGGTGATTTCTTCAAGGAAGGTAGAAATCATTCTAGGGAAAGTTAGTACTCTCTTGCTTCATTATTTGAATTAAAAATGAGCATGTTGATGGGCCGGAGAGATGGCTCAGGGATTAAGAGCACTGACTCAGCTCTTCCAGAGGTCCTGAGTTCAATTCCCAGCAACCACATGGTAGCTTACAACCATCTGTAATGAGATCTGGTGCCCTCTCCTGGCTTGCAGACAGAGTCAGGATGTTGTATTCATAATAAATTCATAATAAAAAATCGTAAAAAAAAACTTGGAATGATGGCGCAATGTCAACACCTGCGGCATCAACACCCACACAGGACAATTCACAACTGCCTGCAACTCCTAATTTCAAGTTACTGATTCAAAACATGTTCAAAGAGAAAAATCTGTAGGACAGTAAACAATTACTGAAACAACCAATATTTAGTAGGATTTCGGGTAACTTGCTCTTCTCTAACCTAAATGAACTTATTATCTTATCTGCTTAGTTCTCTTCTTTTTAGGGGGAAAATAAATCTTTGATCAATTTTATTAATGATCAACTGCAAAAAATTCAAACTGATGCACTTTACTTGCAACCATGTAGAATGGTATTTACCTAAATCAATTCTACATTTAAAAAAATAGCAACAACATAGTTTGGTAGCACATGCCTTAAATAGCAGCTCAGGAGGACCTCTAGGGTCAGCCTGGTCACAAAGTGAGTTCCAGGATAGTCAGAGCTATAAAAAGAAACTATCAAAAAAGTCAGCTGGAAGAATGTCAGCACTCAGTCCTTTAAAGATTTTACATGCTTTTAATCCTAGCTCTTGGAGGTAGAGGCAGGAACCTCTGTGAGGGTAGCCTGGCAAATATAGTGAGAAATTGTCACAAAAATGGGTTTGAACTCCAGCACCACTAGCACAACAAACTAACAAAAAGCAAAAGATAAGTAAAAAATTTACAGGGCTAGTATGGGCTATATGAAATCCCTGGCCCTAAGAAACACCACACACAAAAAGCTACCAACTAACCACCTAAGGGAATGTCATCTCACTACTTCTTAGAGGTTGCAGGAGAACAATGTCTTCTTAGCTCAATTATCACAAACTACAAGACAGTGATTTTCTGTAACAGGCCCTGGAGAGCAGATGACACAGAAAATGACACCAAAACTACCCAACTATCCTGGCAGAATTTAACATATATAATTACACATGGTAAGAGACTTAATAAGCATTTTTCTTTTGCTCCACTTTCAGCTTCCAAACTTATTTCCAAAGAGATCTGGAGAGCAAGTCAAAATAATTTTAGAAGAAAAAAAACTACAAATTGCTAGACAAAATGGTATACACCTTTAAAAGCTCTAAAAAAAAACACTAGTCAATCCCACCCCACCCCCATTTCCTTATTGTTTTCTGTCTGAGACAGGGTCTCTCCATGTAGCCCTTGCTGTTCTAAATCCAGAAAATGACCCACTGAGATTAAAGGTGTGTTACCACATAAAGCTTGCTTTTGTTTTTGGAAGAAAGCAAAATGAAAGTATAGATTTGCCCGGTGGTGGCCCACACCTTTAATCCCAGCACTAGGGAAGCAGAGGCAGGCCAATCTCTGTGAGTTCCAGGACAATAATAGAGAAACCCTGTCTCCACCCCGCCCCACCAAAAAAAAAAGTTGGCTGGAGAGATGGCGCAGCAACTGGGGGAATTCCTGCTCTTGTAAAGGACCCAAGTTCAATTACCTCCAGATCTGACATCCTCTTTTGGTATACCAACATGGAAAGATGGATGGATGGGCAAACACACAATTATTGGGAGAAACAAAAAAGATTTTAAAAAACTGGGCGGGAGATATTGCTCAGTTGCTACTCTTCCAAAGGTTCCATTCTCTGCATCTACGTGGTAGCCCACAACCATATGTAACTCCAGATCCAAAGGATGTAACACCCTATGCTCTAGGCACTGGTGTGTTGTAGGGACACACTAGCAGGTTAAATATTTAAATACACAGATCTTTCAAAAGTCACACTGCTTTGTAATCCTTTTCAAAGGAAATAGTTTTTCTGAAAATGTGGTGATAGGCTTCCCTCATTCCTACAGTCCCTTCCTAAACTAACCAGTATTTAATAAAAATTAGCATACATCTTTAATCCTAGCACTCAGAAGACAGAGGTAGGCAGTTGAGTTCAAGATCAGCCTAGTCTATGTATCTAGTTCCAGGATAGCCAGGATTACACAGAACAAAGTTTTAGGTTTGTTTGGTTTGTTTTTTTGGGGGTGGGTGGGTATCACAAACAGATTGAACTGTTTGACTTATGCAAAGTGTTTACAATTACAATGGATGGTTGAATGTAGTAGTTGAGTGATATAAAAGGAATTTAGGAGTGCCATGATTTGATTTATAAATGAATTATTAAAATTTGGGTGGTACTAGAAGTCGGACCCAGGAGCCACCTCTCCAGTTCCCAATTAATTTCTTAATCAACTTGACACAAGCCTAGACACACTGGGGATGAGAAACTCTCAATTGAGGAATTGCCTCCATTAAACTGGTCTCTGGGCACATCTGTGGGGCATTTTATTGACTACTAATAAATGTAGGAGGGCCCTGTACACCATGAGTGGTACTATCCTTAGGCAGGTGGTCCTGGGGTATAGAAGAAAGGTAACTAAGCAAGCCACAGGGAGCAAGCCAGTAACCACCATTCCACTACTGTGTGCTTCAGTTCCTGCCTTGAGGTTCCTGCCTTGAACTCCTGCCCTGGCTACTTTGTAAAGAATGGTTAGGGAGTTATGAATGGTAGTCCAGTGACATAGGCCAAAAGATGATAGAAGGAAGCATATTGGATGGGTGGTGGTGGTGCACACCTTTAATCCTAGCACTTGTGGGGCAAGGCCAGAGTGGTCTACAGAGTTATTTTCAAGGAAAGCTAGGGTCAAACAGTCTCAAAAAAACAAAAAATTAGTTATGCTATTCTTCAACAAAAAAGCATTTAAAATTTACTTTGCAGGTGGCACAAGTATGGAGGTCAAAGAACTTGCAGGATTCAGTTCTCTTTCCACCACTTGGGAACCAGGGATCAAATTCAGGTCCTAAGGTTTGGAAACAGGTGCCTTTGCCCACTGAGTTATCTCCTGGGCCCAAAAGAATTTTTTGTTTTTTTTCCCTGTATTTCAACAGAGCAGTTTCTTTATATAGTTTTGGCTGTCCTGGATTTGCTCTGTAGACCAGGCTGACCTCAAACTCATGCCTGCCTCTGACTGGAGTTCTGGGATTAAAGGTGAGAAGCAGGACACATTTGGTAACACAGACCTGCATCCCCGCAGCACCTGGGACATAGAGGCTCAGGTCGGTCTTAAGGCCCTAGTCTATCAAAACAAAAAAACTCATTATCCTTTCAGAAAATACTGAGCACATGGGAAACAGAAGGATCAAGAATTCAAAGCCAGCCTGACTATGACACCCTGTTTCAAAATGCTAAAAATAAACTGTAAGGTTATCCCTTTAAGTAAATATCCCATTTCCACATAAAACATCTTTACCAAATAAATGAATAAAGCCAGACGGTGGAGGCACAAGCCTCTAATCCCAGCATTTGGGAGGCAGAGGCAGTCCTGTGCGTTCCAGGACAGCTAGGGCTGTTAGACTAACCCTCTCTTGAAAATACAAACCCTCTTTAAAAAACTAGATGATTAATTATACCTTTCTTAATTTATGTTGGAAAAGTACATTTCTCTAAACTATACTATTTTCAAAGACCTTGAATCAAGAAATTCATACTAATTATTCACTCACAGTATCATAGAATCTCAAATATACTAGTACATGTATACTCAAGTCAGCCCATCAGAATCTTTGAAAAAGGAACAAACGAATTACCTTTAGTGTGATATACAATAGCAGCCCTCAGGTCAAAAGAACCCCAGCTATCATTCCTTTCTAGGCCTCTCTGGTATCTCTGTTCTTTGGCGGAGCCTAACAAAGTGTTCGTAGGAGAGGCCAGAGGATTTTGATTTTCTATTTCGTAGTCCTTTGAGAGAAACACTAAAGCACCTTGACTACTGGTGTCTGCTTTTTGCAGGTCACCTATATGACTGGGTTCCAAGGATAAGGCTCCACTCTCAGTAGTCCCAGGTTTTAGAATGTTACCCAGAACTTGAGGACTAGTCCGTTTTTCCAGCTCATAAGCCTTGGGAAACACAGGATGCTCAGTTCCTGAGGGAATTATTTCAGCACCCTGTGAAACCAAAGTGGCAGGATATTCTCCTTGAAATGTCACTTCCATCACTTTATGATCTGATGACTTCCCAATAACAGTCTCTGGGCCAGCACTGGGCTCATTTATAAATGATAAACCCCATTGATTCTGGAAGATATCTCCCAGGTTTTGCTGATCTGTCTGCGAGGGCAGATCTACTTGTGCAGTGCTTAACAGCACTGCTTGCATATTTGAAGGGTAGATAAAAAGGCTAGACTTAATTTGTTCAACAGCTGCTGAAGCCAGACTCACGTCCTGAAGAACTGAATCAGTCCCAGTAGAGATGGGTGTTAAAGTATTAGCAGCAGTAGTTAGCAGTGGCTGACCCCCTGATGGATACACACTTCCATCAGTTCCTGCTAAAACAGGCCCATTAGAAAAGTTGGCAGAAGTAACAGACTTCAGAGCTGACATGGGGACCTGGGATAATCGACTTGAAGATTGGGTCTGAGTTTCCCCAGTAGATAGTGAAGAAGATGACGATGAAGATGGTGACACAGAAGAGTTCTGTACAGTTTTGTTGAGGTTTTCCTTAACTTTGCTTGCATAACTTATTTTAGGAACTATTTTAGCACTGCTATTGTCCACTGGAAAAACTGGGGGTGGTTTAAACAAGGTCCATGAGTCCTCTTTGGAGGCAGCAGCTGAGGCATGCTTTCCTTTAGGCCGATCATCAAACTTTTTGCTGCTCAAACCGGGTTTAATATCTGAACTTTTACGAAGTGTGTCACCCACAGAAGGTTTTCCACGACTTGTTCCTCCAGGTCCAGTCTCATACTTCCAAATAGGCTTCGAACCATCTGCTCGAGTTCCTTTTTGTTCACTATAGTCAGGCTTTAAACTTTCAAGTCCCTGTTTTAATCCTGGGACACTAGTCTCTTGCATTATTTTATCCTGCACTAAATTAAGGTTTTCACAACCCTTGGCACTATTGCGCCTAGCTTTCCTTTTTTTAGGAGTGGTATATCCGCTCTCAGATCCGCTACCATCATTATCTGCTCCTTTGCCCATATAACCATTAGTGATATAGCCTGAATTATTTGTTATAACACCATTTGGAATTGCTACAATATCGGTCTTATCTGCAGCCTGGTTCTCTCCAGATTTGCTTTCATAAGACTTCCCATTCTTTTTGTCCATACTGTTTTTCTGAATAAAATTCTTGGTTTTAATTCCTGCTTTCCCAAAGGTGCTGGTCTTTATAGTCTGCTTCAGGCTAGTGTCTACAACTTGCTGGTTGCCATTGAGGACCCTAGAAATAGGGTTAGTAGCTTCATCAGAATTGAGGCTCTTTAAAGATACTTCTCCAGCATTACCATTTATTTCACCATAGCCTACAGAAGGAAAACAAAAACAAAACAAAAAGAAACACATTTAAATCACATTAGTATTGAAGACTAGAAACTGTTTACTGATTATCAGATACTATATACTGTCAGTTTTGTTACCTCATATCACTATGAAGAAAAAAACCTTGTCAGCCCCATATCACAGATGACAGAGTTCATTGGTAGGCAAAGGGAGAATTAGAACACAATTCACATCAGGTTCATCTACTGGGCACTAGCCAGAATTAACTAGAAAGAACAGGACCTCTCAAGCAGCATGCTATACATGATACTCCTCTAGATTATCTGAACAGAATAAACTACACATTATGGCCATGAGGCTATTATAAAAATTTCCTTACAATTAATTAAATGCAATACAATCCAGGCAGGTTTGGTACCTGCCTGTAACTCTAGCACACTGAAAACTAAGGTAAGATGAGTGTATATTTGAAGCCACCTTGAGCTATATAGGGTGGAACCTTGTCTCAAAGCAAACACAATTAGGACCAGTGTTACCCTCTGGGCAAAATCCCAAATGTTCAGAAACAGTAAATAGTAAAAGAAATTAAGGCTGTGGCCTTTGCCTAGCATGGATGACCACTGAATTCAATACCTAGCACTAACCCTCCACTACCACCACCACCAAAAAGGGGGGAAATAAAACCCTAAATGTCTAGTTGCCAATGCATCTAACAAACAAAGCTATAATGCCCAGGGACTTTGATATCAGGTCATACCATAACACATGTACCAATGTTTCTAACCCTTATTAAAATTTGTTTTATATTTGGCTTAAAAGACCTAGGGAGATAAAGGCCTGTCTAAAACTCACAGCTTTCGTACTCTACCCCCATGCATCAGCTGCTTGCTCACATTTTAAAGCTGTCAAGTATTTTGAATGTAAATCTTCCCTGTTGACAGTTTGTGATCTACTGGGTCACAACTTCTACTTGCTAGTAAAATGGTGATTAGACATCAATTGTTTTATGACCTCTAAAGTCCTTTGGAAATTTTTTTTTTGGTTTTTCTGAGACAGGGTTTCTCTGTATAGCTTTGGAGACTATCCTGGCAGTTGCACTGTAGACCAGGATGACCTTGAACTAAGACTACCACCCCTTTGTACCTCCTTGTAGAAGTTCTTAACTTCCTGACTGACATGTATAGAATCCAAAGCTCAACCCTCAGTTGTTAGGAAAAAAAATTCCAGTGCTAAAGAACTATTTTTTAAAAAATGTATGGTAGCAAGTCAGACTTCCTGTGTTGCTAAGGGCTGAGTATTCCTAGCAGGTGCTCCACCACTAAATTCTATCTGTTCCCAAATAAAAGCTTTCATGGAGATGTGGCCATACCTCTAATGGTAGCACCAAGAAAACAGAACCAGGGTAATCTGTAAGTTTGAAGTCAGCCTATTCTACATAAATGAATTCCTGGCCAGCCAAAACCACATATTAAGACCCCAGTCTCAAAACACACTTTTTTGCGCCTGGCGTTGGTGGCGCACGCCTTTAATCCCAGCACTCGGTAGGCAGAGGCAGGCGGATCTCTGTGAGTTCGAGACCAGCCTGGTCCCTGGTCTACAAGTGCTAGTTCCAGGACAGCTTCAAAGCCAGAGAAACCCTGCATCAAGGAGGAAGAAAAAAAAAAGGCAGAAAGCTACTATGTGGCACACCTTTAGTGGTAGGAGAATCTGAGTTAGAGATCAGCCTAGTCTAGATTTCTGAGCAAGAGCTGCACTAAGAAACCCTGTCTCGCCGGGCGTTGGTGGCGCACGCCTTTAGTCCCAGCACTCGGGAGGCAGAGGCAGGCGGATCTCTGTGAGTTCGAGGCCAGCCTGGTCTACAAGAGCTAGTTCCAGGACAGCCTCCAAAGCCACAGAGAAACCCTGTCTCGAAAAACAAAAAAAAAAAAAAAAACAAAAAACAAAAAACCAAAAAAAAAAAAGAAAAGAAAAAAGCAGAAAGCTGAGCCCAGACAGACACAGTGGTTCATCCCTGCAAATCTGTCTCAAGCAAAAACAAAATTTGGGGGAAGGAGAGACCAGATCATTAAATTTGCCCTTGTGAAACTCTCGACCAAAGACAACAAAGAACTACCTCACCATATAATAGCTCAATAGGTTAAGCAATAAATATTTGTATCTTCTGGCTTATTACTCATAATTTTGTATTTCAACTAAAGGTGGGCGATGCTACATGGAAAGTTGAATCAAAGCAATCTTGTAAGTGAACCAGAATAATTCTAACTAAGAATACTACTTGTGGCTTAGAAAATACAGCTCAGGTGGGATACAGTGGCCCACACTAATTCCAGCTACTCAAGGGTGAGACACCAGAATTACAACTTAAAGGGCTGAGTCTGTGGCTGAGTGTCAACAGCTCCTGCCTAGCACACCAAGGGGCCTGCCTAAGGTTCAATCATCAGGCCACTATAGTTGTCTATGACAAAAATCATTTTGCTATTTAACTACATAATACTTTGACCCCTGTGTCTTTGGCATGCAGAAAGCATGAAAGGCATGTCTCAAAGCTTAAATATTTAAGAAAAATGTGAAGACTGTAGTTATTACAGAAAAATTAAAAATTTGTAGCATTTACTTGGGGCTGCCATGCTAACTCCACTTCAAATGGACTCAGTCAAAACTTGAGTTTTGACTGCAATCACTCCAAACACATTTGGGCTTCTCTTGTGCCCTCTTCTGGATTCAGAAAACTAGTTTCTCAAAGATTTGGAGCAATAGGTCATAAAACCCATTGAAGCAACAGCACTGTGTGACCAAACAGCACATGAAAAACCCATCACCCCCAAACTGTTAGGATTCTCTCAATTTACTAAACATAGTCTCCCTCCTTATTCTTCATCCCAACTTAAGACATATTTTGAGGGATGCCACTTCTAACGGTTCAGGGTCTGCATCTCTATGGAATGGTGAATTCTGTGGGGAATACATAAACCTCACAAACAAATTTAAAGTCTAAAAAGTTCCATCATTTGACAACCTTAATACTTGCCTGCTTTCTGAAAACCAAAATGCAGCGTTACATAATTCCTAAGTTTTCTAGGCTGCTCTAGATCCTTACAATTAAACACTTTAACTTCTACTGCACCTTACAAAAGAAACTGATATCCAGCATCTGTCTTCAAAGTTACATTGTCTACAGTTAAGTTTTTCACCAGTAACTGCTCGTATGCTTAAATGACAGGCTGAGTATAACATTTTTCTTCCAAGTATTCCCTTCACTACTCTTCAGTTTATAAACACTTTTAATCTGCGAATATATAAATTCTGATGTTTATTTCTTAAGAATTTCCTCAAAACTTTTACGTTTAATGTTAAAATTCAGTTTGAATAACGACATTAGTTTTAAAATGCTGCAAATGTCTTTCATGTTAATATCACCAAAAAGTCTCGTCCAAGGTAAGACGGTATTGACACACTTCCAGATAATAGGGGACCCAGACTGTGTCTGTTGCCCATCCAAATCAAGTATTTGACTAACCCCTGCAACCACTACCCATGCCCAGAAGTTTAGGTGCTGTATGGAAAACGGATGGAACAAGGTTTAAGAGGTTGTTTTCTTCTTTTGGTAGGAAAGGCGCTGCTAGAAAGAAAAAGGCCTAAGTGAAAGCCTCTGAGGCGGAGTCGTGAGCGAACCTGGCAGGAGATGAGATTCCTGTGGCAGAGAAACTCGTGACCCGGGAGCTTGGTTCCCGCTGGGTACCCCACCCGACCTCAGGCACCGCCTCTACCGAAAATGAATCCCCCCGTCGCCCCTCGAAGGCCAGCGGAACGCCGCGGCCGCCGCCCGGGCCTCCTCCTCCTCCAAGCTCCTCTTCGAGGCCGGCTCCCCGCCCGCCCGGCCGGCCGCCCGCCCGCGCCTCCCGCCGCACCCGGGAGCGGGAAACGCGGCCGCCGGCGCGCGGGTCCACGGTGCAGGCCGCTCCCCTCGTGGCCGCTTCCCTCCCCCACCCCAACCGCCCCCGCCCCTCACCCCAGGGACCCGCCCGGGGCCGCGCGGCCGCCACCGGGTTACACAACCCGGCGCGGGGCGGGGGGAGGGGCGGCGGGCGCCGGCCGCCCGCAGTGCGGGGGCCCCGGCGATGGCCGCGGAGGGTCCCGGGCCATGGGTGCCGGCGTGCTGTGTGGCCTTCGGCACCCTTCCCCCTCCGCGCCTCAGCCGGCCGAAGTCGGTGACAGGAATCGGCTTCCAACATGGCGGACAGGAAGCGGCCCCGCGAGGAGGAGAGAACATTCCAGCCTCGCCGGCTCTGAGGAGAGCGAGCCAGGGGCGCCGGCCTCCGGAGAAGCCTCGCGGGCAGGCAGCGGGGTCCAGCGCCAGGAAGGGGCGTTTAGGGGCAGAAATGACTCGAGGGGCGAAGGGGTCCCAGCCGCCCCCCCAGACAGCAAACCCCAGGGCCACAGGTGGGCTTGGGGGCCGGGGAAGGAGGGCGCTTCCCCAACTCAGCCCTCAGCCCGGCTCCTCGCTGCCGGCATGAGGGTCTCGCGACGCCGCCCGAGCCGGGATTCACTAGGCCTGCCTGAATTACCTACTCCTCCAGGGAATGTATTTTTGAGGGAGGCCGAGTTTGATCCCTCCTTAGGGCCCCCACATTCAGGCAACCCCAGGGCCGTAGAAGAGGGAAAAAAAAAAATAAGGTCGTGGACTTGCAAGGCCGACCATACAGGTCTGCCTGAAGCCGGGGCGGGGGCCGGGGAAGGTCACGCCGGCCTGCTTGGGCCTCTCCCATGCTGACGGGGGGAGAGGGCGCTGCAATCCCACCTCGCGGCCCGCGCCCGGGAAGAATGAAAGGGGGCATCCCAGGCCCCGCGGGACGCACACCCCGGCCGGGTCCGCGCTTTTCACATCTAGCCCCACCCCCATCGCCTCGTCGGCCCCCCCAGCCCCGGGCCCCCTTCCCCCACCGCCCTCCCTCCCGGACCTGTTTTCTTCTTCGGCGTTTCCTGGTGCTGCTGGAGGGTGTGTTTCTGCTCATGTTTCAGCGGCTTGGGCTGGGCCTTGGGGCTGCCCTCGGCTCCATGCTGCAGGTATTGGTGAGGCTGCTGGTGGTGGTGGTGGTATTGGTGGTTGTGGCTGTGGTTGTAGAAGTAATAATGGTGATGGTGGTGCGACTGCTGCTGCTGCTGCTGCTGGGGGTGATGGTGCGGATGGTGGTGGCTGTGATGGTGCTGAGGCTGTGGCTGGCCGGGCTTCTCCTCCATTGAAAGCGGCTGGGACTCCCTGGCTGAGGCTGCGGGCTGCTGCACCGTCAGGATCTGAGACTGCTTCTCAGCGCTCGCTCAGTATATCTGAGCGCGTCTCGCCAGCGCACTGGTTAAGCGAGCGGATCTGTGAGATTGGCAGCAGCGCTCCGGCAATCAGGAGCCACGCTGCGCGTCAAGCCCCGCCCCTAGCCCAAATCCTCTTCCCTTCCCCTTCGCCACTGCCGCCTGGCCAACGCCACTTACCCTATGCAACCTCACAGGGCCGGGCCTTCAACGTCAGCATTATGGCTCTCTCTTCTATCGCTTTCTCTCCTTCACCACGCAGTTAGCGAACAGCACTTTCTACACTCCTCACAGACAAGCAAGCTGGTTTCGAGTGTAGCAGATTCCACGGACGATTACTGGCGCTAGGAGCCATCTGTTGGCTCTGCACCTCCTAGAATCTGTTGGTGTGTGTGTGGTGGTGTGTGTGTGGGTTTTTTTTTTTAATCCTTTTCCGGGTGTGTGTGTGTTTGTGTGTGTGTGAGTGTGGGTGTGTGTGTGTGTGGTTTTTTTTTTTAATGCTTTTCCGGGTAGCCAGAGCAGAGGGGGAAGCTCAATTTCCTTAACCCTTAGGCCACGAAAGGGGCAATACAAAAGAGGAAATGAATTCAATTTTAAGAATACAAAACCTTCACAACTCGATAGATCGTTTTGTATTCTGGATTCATTTTGCTTTGTATTCATATGCTAATCTCTTCCTTTCCACGGAGGGATTATTGGGCTCCACAATGGGGTATCTGTGTAATTTTCTAAAAGGGCACAAAGGGCTTAAATCATTGTTTCTTTGTAGTTGAAGGCAAGAGAGGGATGGATAAAAAATCTATATTCAAGTTTTTTTTGTTTTGTTTTAACTAAACACTACAGGTGAGGTCAACTATGGAACCAAAAAGGTTTTAGAATAAGAATTTCAAGAGTGAAGGGAGAAAGGACACCTTTGAAAGTTCTTAGGATTTTTTTTTTTACATTTTTTTTGTTTGTTTTGCATTGCAATTTAAAGATGTATTTGCTCCGGGCGGTGGTGGCGCATGCCTTTAATCCCAGCACTCCGGAGGCAGAGACAGGTGGATCTCTGTGAGTTCGAGGCTGGGCTGGACCAATAGCCTCGAAAACAAAACAGAGAAACCCTGTTTCGTAAAAACCAAAAAATAAAATAATAAAGATGTATTTGCATTGTATTCTGTTAAATCAATTTACGTTGTGTTAGCAGAAAGAGCGTTGTGATGACAGACACAAAGTACCCTCTCTATATATTTTGGGGGGCTTTGGAAGGAGGGATTGTTTATTTGTATTGGATTGCTTTGTTTTTGAAACAATCTAACTGTAACCCTGATTAATTGGAACTCCAACTAAGAGATCCCCCTGCCTCTGCCTCCTGAGTGCTGGGATTAAAGTCCTACACCACCACCACACCTAGCTAATGTGCTACTTCTTTTTTTTTTTTTTTTTTTTTTTTTTTTGGTTTTCGAGACAGGGTTTCTCTGTAGCTTTGGAGGCTGTCCTGGAACTAGCTCTTGTAGTCCAGGCTAATCTCGAACTCACAGAGATCCACCTGCCTCTGCCTCCCGGGTGCTGGGATTAAAGGCGTGCACCACCACCGCCCGGCTGCGCCACCACCCCCTGCCAATGTGCTACTTCTTAAAACTATATTACATGTACACTTGCTTTATAATATATATATATATATATCTATGTAATGCAAGGGAAATTTTAAGTGTAAATTTTACAGTATTAACCTGTTATTTTGTTTGTTTTGTTATTTTGAAATAAGGTCTTATTATGTGTCCCTGACTGGCCTGGATTTACTGTGTAGCTCAGGCTGGCTTCTACCTTACAAACACTTCATTTCAGGCATGTACCATCATACCCAGGTCCTACTTAGCCATTTGACGACATAGTTCAGGGTATTAGGACGTCCCCATTGCTGTGTAACCAAAAGCAGGTGCATCTCTAGAACTGGAACTTCTACCTATTAAATGATAAATCTCTTGAGGCTGGAGAAATGGCTCAACGGTCAGGAGCCGACAGGACCAGAGTTCAAGTCTAAGCATTCTCATGGCCACTCATAACCATCCGTAACTCCAGTTCCTAAGGGCTTATTTCCTCTTCTTAACTCCAAAGCACCAGGCACACACATACACATTCAGGAAAAACACTCATACATATAAAATGGATCTTTTTTTGTTGTTTTGTTTTTTCGAGACAGGGTTTCTCTGTGGCTTTGGAGGCTGTCCTGGAACTCGCTTGGTAGTCCAGGCTGGTCTCGAACTCACAGAGATCCGCCTGTCTCTGCCTCCCGAGTGCTAGGATTAAAAGCGTGGACCACCGACTAAAATGGATCTTCTTTTGTTTCTGAGACAGGGTCTCTATAACTGCCCTGGCTGTCCTGGCACTCCCCTGTAGACCAAGCAGGCCTTGAACTCACAGGACTCCACTGGACCCTGCCTCTGGAGCATGTTGGGATTAAAGACTTTTGCCACTAACTACTGGCAAAATATATTTTTTTCAGAAAGAGAAAAGAGATAAATGGCTGGGTAGTGGTGGCACACGCCTTTGAACCCAGCAATGCAGAGACAAAGGCAGGTGAAGAGAGTTTGAGGCCAGCCTGGTCTTCTAGAGCTAGTTATAGGACAGGTCCCAAAGCTACACAGAGAAACCCTGTCTCGAAAAACAAACAAAATTAAATAATAAGTCCCCTTGCTTTCCTACCTTTCTTGAAGCCCTGTTTTAAATTGACTGTCCAAAGTACCTCATGTAAATAGAGTCATACAGTCTTTGTGACTGGCATATTTCAATTGCCATAGTGTCTCCTTTTTGTTTGTTTTTTATTTTTGAAATGATTTGTTTACTTTTGTTTTATATGCATTGGTGTTCTGCCTGCATGTATGTCTCTGTGAGAATATCAGATCCCCTGAACCTGGAATTAGAGTTATAAGCTGCTACTTCAGTGCTGGTAATTGAACCCAGGTTCTTGGGAAGAATAGCCAGTGCTCTCAACCTCCAAGCCATCTATCTCTCCAACCCCTTAATGTTTTGTTTTGTTTTTAATTAGCTGTATTTTGCGTGTATGTTTTGCCTGCATGTATGTATGTGTACCTGTGTATGCCTGGTGTCTGCTGAGTTCAGAAGAGGTTGTGAGATCCCCTGGATCTTAAGTGAAGAATGGTTGTGAATCTCTGTGTAGATGCTGGGAACTAAACGTGGGTCTTTTGCAAGAGCAACAAATATTCTTATCCTCTGTGTCATCTCTCCAGCCCTAAAGTCTTGTTTTCTCAACGTATTTTTGTTTGCTTGGTATTTGTTGTTCTTTTGATTTTTTTTTTATTTTTTGAGTTAGGATCTCATATAGTGTAGACTGACCTCCAACCCCCCCCCCACCCTTTCTTTTGTTTTTTGAGACATGATTTCTCCATGGAACAGTTCTTACTGTTCTGGGACTAGCTCTGTAGACTAGGCTGCCTTGAACTCACAGAGAGCTGCCTGCATCTGCCTCCCAGACTCCAACTCACTTTGTAATCAAGGATGATCTTCAACAATTGATTTGTCTGCCTCCTAAATGTTGGTATTTCAACAGGGTGCTACCATGCCTACCCTTACCATGTCTTTAAGATATATTCATATTACATAGCATGAATAAAAATGTCTTTCCTTTTTATGACTGCATAATATTCCATGGTGAGTGAGTAAGTGTGTGCTTTGGGAAGGTATATACAGCATTTTTTATTATCCATTTGTTTGATAATAGGTATGTATATTTTATATAGTTTTTTATTTTAAAATGTGACTTGAGCCGGGCGTTGGTGACACCCTTGAACTCCTGATTCTTCTACCTCTATTTTTTTTTTTTTTTTTTTTTTTTTGGTTTTTGGCTTTTTCGAGACAGGGTTTCTCTGTGGCTTTGGAGGCTGTCCTGGAACTCGCTTGGTAGGCCAGGCTGGTCTCGAACTCACAGAGATCCGCCTGCCTCTGCCTCCCGAGTGCTGGGACTAAAGGCGTGCGCCACCAACGCCCGGCCAGTGTTAGGTAGTTTTATGTAGATAGAAATTTGCTCTTTGATGATATTTACAGTTTCAAAAGAAGGCAACTCACTAGGAACATTCACTGTTTCATTTTAGTAGGAAAGAGTTTTCTTTGTATGTCCGTGATGGCTAAGGAAACTCCATTTTGCGAGAGGCATCCATCTTGGTACCTAATACCTGTCTATGACTCAAGTTCCTGGAAGGTAAGAGCCTGGCCATCCTGATTCGTTGATATGGACATAAGGGTTTTTTGTTTGGTTGGTTGTCCCGTTGGTTTGGCTTTTTGAAACAGGGTTTCTCTGCATAGCCTCGGCTGTCCTGGAATTCACTTTATAGATCAGGCTGACCTTGAACTCGCAGAGATCCACCTGCCTTTGCCTCTGCCTCCTGAGTGTTGGGATTGAAAGTGTGAGCCACCACTGCCTGACAAAGTTTAACTGAAGTTTTATAGTCCAAACTGAGATGGGATCCTTCTTTATCTGCTTCATTTGTACCTCAATTGGGCAATTACTTGGCGCTTCTAAACCATTTTCTCACCTGAGAAAATAGTTCTAGGGTATATAGATGATACTGTTTTAAATATTGATGCTATGAAATGATTAAATGTTATATTATGGTTTGTATCCCCCCTGCCCCCAAGAAAAAGGTCTTGCTATTTTATCCAAGCTGGTCTTGAATAGCTGGGCTCTATTTGGATCTTTTTTTGTTGTTGTTGTTTTTTTTGGGGGGGTTTTATGAGACTGGGTTTCTCCATATTGTTTTCTTTTTCTTTTTTTTTTTTTTTTGGTTTTTCGAGACAGGGTTTCTCTGTGGCTTTGGAGACTGTCCTGGAACTAGCTCTTGTAAACCAGGCTGGTCTCGAACTCGCAGAGATCCGCCTGCCTCTGCCTCCTGAGTGTGCTGGGATTAAAGGCGTGAGCCACCACCGCCTGGCTCTATTTGGATCTTAACCATGCCCTGTAGGCTCATGTGCTCAAGACTGTTTACCAGCATGGGTTGCCATTGACAGACTGTAGACTCTGGGAAGTGGGGCTTAGTGAAAGGAAGTTAGGTTATCTTAGTTAGCA